AAAACTGTTTCCACATGTCAGATGACTTCATCAGCTTCTAATGTGACGTAAAGACGACACATCGTTAACATTAAGACAGATTCTCGTTAGCATTAAGGTGTTTCTTGCATTTTTAATCCCATGTATTTATTATTTTTCATCTGTGCAGCAGCAGAAAGGAAATATTAGGTAGAGACACACAAGAACATGAAACAGAACCAGAGACGAGAGGAAGAAGAAGAAGAGGCAGAGATCAGTTCAGGTTATAGGAGCGACGAGAAGTTTGAGAGAGAAAGAAAGCCGCAAAATCCATAAGAAACCGTGCAGAACGACGGGACGAGGGAAGAAGTAGAACAATGAGTGAAGAGCTTTGAACCAGGCTGACGGCACTCGCAGGGAGAAGCGGTGAGGACAGGAGGAAGAGGAGGAATGTGTCGTTTGGAGTGACTGATAAAGTTTCGGCGGCGAGGTGCTGCTTGTACCAATTATTCCCCCACTGTGTTTGACTGTCGAGGCGTTGAGCGGCACAACGCTGCCCACCAGGATTAGAGAGGAGGAGGACAGGAAGAGGAGCGTGGAGAGATAAGAACCTAATTAGCTTGCAGCCTTTCGCCGCCTCCCCCTCCATCCCCTCATCCTCCCATCCCAGGAGGACGACGGTCTGATATTACAGATACGCAGCCATGAAGAGAACAGAGCAGCCTCCTCGTTTCTCTGCAGCTTGTCTGATGGTGGAGGAGAGCTTTGTTTATGTTCTCGCATGACGTCCTGCTGTGACGCTCGGAAGCTGAAGGTTTGTTTCTGTTTTTTTCTGTTTGTCCCACATACGTGAGTTTAAACACATCCTGGTTTTGTGAGCAGGTCCACGAGTTAACTCAGAACCCGGATCCAGACACACCAGTCACCGCTGCACCTGTTCAAAGTGCCGTCAAACTGTCTCTCAGTGGTGTGAGGTCACAGCGCACACCTTTACACATGAAACAGGTAAGAACCATCGTAATTAAGATTGTTGGCACTAGACAGTCTGCACCCATGTGGATCATGGGAAAAGCAAAAAACAAAGCGAGGCGGCCTCACTTTGTGTCACATTTTAAATGAATTTCACCCTAAAATGGTGCCGTTATCAGGTAAACACCTCTGGACTCGGTAAAGCCTGCAGTACCTCTGACTTACAGCCAATTTAAATAAAAAGCAGCGCTGCCTGTTGTTATGTGAGTAATGGAGTTGACGGGGTGCCGCCTTATCTCCGGTTTTATTTAACAGTTACATGGACGGTTGAATGCGGTTAAATGGATGTGGCCCAGGGTGTACGGTTGGAACGTGTCTCTTCAGTCACCTTGTGAATGGAGATCATTTGTAGATGTTCTGTCCTTAAAGAGCTGATCTTCAACAGTCTGTTATCATTTAGTTTATTACTAGTTTGTTCACAGTGTGGTGAACATCAAATACAACGCAAAGAAGAATAAAATTAAGATGGTTAAAAGTTAGAGGATGTGATTAGAATTCCTTGCTTCTGCCCTTAAACTGTGAAATGAGATTACATGTTTAGGTTGTTATGTAACCTGTGATCTTTCTGATGATAGCGGTATTTATAGGCAGACCCTCGAGATACAGACACAAGTAAATGTGTTGTAAATTTACTGTATGTACCATGACTGTGAAGTCCTCTGTTTTTAAAGCTCTCTGGAAGCCCCAGTACGCTGCCCACCTGTGGAGCTGCTCAGAGGCTTCCAAGGACAGTATGAGCAACTGGAAGCTGCAGCATAAACCAGATGTTTGCAAACGTCTGTTCTCCTGAAACACCAAATCTATCTTAATCTGCAAACTGCAAGGGATTGGCGTTAACCAGTCCTTAGTCTGGCTCTAGTCTGAACTGTAGAACCACTGGTGTTTCTCTCTAAAAGCAAATGACTGATCAATGTTAATTGCTTTTGCTGACTTTCTTTAATTACTTTGCCTTTTCTGTGTCTTTATTAAATGGTACATTTAATGGCTTCCTCCTTGAACTGGGACTTGTGTTGAATTGAAGTGTGGTATCAGACAAGATTCTGTTGTTTGTTCCTGAACATGAAACATTCGCAGAAATGTTTAAACGCGATACTGTGTCAGTTGGAGTCTGAGGGAGGAAGCGGAGATCGGATGCAGCTCCAGAGCTCCAACAGAGAGACTCCAGAGGACAAGGCAGAAGACGGTATTAGTTATTATTAATTCACATGTGTTTACCCTCTGGCCACAATAAGTACAAGTTAGTCCAGCGCTGAGAGGAAAACACCTGACCTCGCTGACTCCCAGTGTGTGTGTGGGAGCAGAGCACTGGCTGCTGTTACTGTAAGTGGGTGTTAGCATCGAGGCTAATGAAGCCCATAGGGACTGAATGGAGCTGCCTGTGGACATGCTAATGCTCAGTGAGTGCTGCACTAACCTGTAGGAGGATAACACACGCTCCTAGCTTGGCTTCAGTCAGAATGTAATGTAGCATGAGGTTAGTTTATCAATGTGAACAGCTGATTCTCCAGTCGGGTGACATTAAACCGGAAGAGGACAACATAAGTGACTAAAAGAACGTCAGTCAGACTTCAAATGATGGAAAATGACGTCAGAAGCTGAAATATTTCCATACAAATGACCAAGGCTGCACCATTATGGACAAAATGATGATTACAGTGATTTAATTTTTAGAGCCAGAATATTTTGTGCATCTTCAGATTCAAATCAACAGAGCTCATGATGGAGACACGTCTTTATCTGTTCCACGCCACTAGAGGAGCATAAAGATGTGCTCCGTCAGTCCTGCTTTGGTTTTATCAGTTCATTAACTTCTCCAAGACAGAGACTTCTGAATTTTCTGTGTTGTCACTCAGGTGAATTACACAAATTGAGAATATGCATGGAAACAAATGGATGAAACCCACTGACTGATTGGTTTACTGACAAGTGGAAACATCCAGTACGCTGTGTGTGTCGCACGCCGGTCACTGTCTTTAATTTCTGCGTTTTAATGAAGTTGTTCTGTATTGGAACTCTGCAGCAGAGTGTGAAATTAACTGTACAGCTGCTGAAGTGTGTGTGTGTGTTAAATCTCCAGTTGTACCTCCACACACTCGGCTGTGTGTTTTCACTTCTTCCCGACACAAACACAAACTGAACAGTTTGTGTGCACAGAGGAGACGACAGGAAGCTCCAGTCGAACAACTAATAAGCTGCTGCTGCACTAAACTCATCTGCAACGTTGATCATCTGGGCTGGATTTTAAATGTGATAAAAGGGTGCTGAGCTCCATTCAGCCTGACCTGAGGCAGGAGCTTCCTTCGCAAATATTAAAGAGGCAACAGCAGAGAGTTCGGCGAAATAAATCGACACGGAAACTGTAAAGTGCGTTCTAGAATACATTTAAGAAGTTGTGTTTACTCTCAGCCTGCCGCTTTTTAGTTGCATAAACTCTATTTATGTAATTACCTGATAATATGCGGAGACGTTTTATCAGCTGCTTGCTGAGCTTTATGTATGTTGTTTTTCTCTTGAGGACAGGTCAGATAAAGATATCCTCTACTCTTCTGCTGCTAATTCCACCATGAAACAAGCTGCTGTAGTTACCGCTGTGCTGTGTTTCATAACAGGAGATAAGGATGTTGCTGTGTGCCGTCTGAACAAGAAGGTTTGTCTTGGTAGCGGCAAGAAGAGAAGCACTTTGCTCATGCCTCTTACTAAAGCTGCCTCAGCGTAGAGCTTCTCGTGTTTAGACATGTCTGAAGATACATAAATATGCTCTGAATAATAATTTGAACTTTTTAATGAATCAAATTAGACACAATTACCTGAAATGATTAAAATGCCGTCTACACCTCTTCCTTCGTTAAAAAATGCAAAACTGATGAATATGTAAATCACAGCTTCCCCTGATAGTTGAAGCCTGAACTCAACTCAACTCAGATTCTTTGAGTCCAGTGTTTGTTTATCCACGTATGACACGAGCTACTTTATCTTTTAACTGTAAGTACGAACCGCTGCCCTGACGAAGTACATTTAGTTAGCACAGACTACAGCGACATAATATTGCACCCTGAACTCTGTCATGTGTCTGTCGGCGGCTCAAACTCGTTCATACTCGTGTGCAACATCGTGACGTATGTGACGCAACCGCTGCAGAGGATTGTGGGTCAGAATGACGAGGAAAACATGTTCGCTGCAAACTGCAAAATCTGACCGGCTGCAGTAAAACATCCTGGTGTTTTTGACAGCCTACATCATGTTCATACACGTCACCAGGTTTATGTTCTTTGCAGGTGGCTGAAGTGTCACAAAGAGACAAAGTACATGATCTAAGAGTGACTCTAAATGAAGGATTTGATTGGTATTTGTTGGCCGTGGTGCTGAACCTGTCCGGGCACTGACTTGGAACCAGATCCAAAATGGACCCAGCTATCAATATCATATTTAATAAATCCCAAGAGCTTTAGTAAAAAGCAGCTGGACTTCTTTTTTTTTTTGATTTTGTTCTCTTGGATGAGAAGTTACACCTTCATCCAAAAACACTTCTGAACTCATAAAGCTGAATCGTCTTTAAGAACCTTTCAGGGAAGTCCAGTTGTTGTTCACTGAAGCTGTGAAGACTAAAATGACCTGGATGACTGAGGATCTACACAGACATCTTTAGGTGTCTCCTCATTGTCTTGATAAAAAAACAATGTCTCTGCTGGGACAGTTTGGCTTCATTCCCACCTGTTGGTTCAGTGGATGGTCCTCCAGGAGCTGAATTTAAAAGTTAGTTGCGTTTGTTTTCAGAAATGTGTCTGAAAGCTTCACAGGTTTAAACAACAATTCACCAATGAGACAGAAAAACAAAGAAGTTACAGGATGAATAACATCAACAACAGTACGTCCAGACGGCGGTCTTTCCTTCCTGTGGAGAATCCTGAGTTAGTGTGGAAACGGTTACTGCCTTCATGAACACCGACCTGCTGATTTGAAATCAGAGGTAAAGTCAGTGGTAAAGCTGAACCTGAGTGTTTGTGTGCTCGTACCTGAGTCTGGATGCGGTTCAGGCCTCTGAACCAGAGGATCTGGCCTCTCCTCAGCTCCATCTCGGCGTGGTCGATCTCATCGGCGCCCTCCGTCAGCTCCTCCTCGTGGATCTCTTCCTTTCTGGAACCGTGGCCTGCCTCCTTCAGGAACTTCAGGTGGTGTGTCGGGATGGCTGAGATCAGCTGAGGTTCACAGAAAACAACAAGTGTTATAGAAACTGAAAAACATAATGAACATGAACATTTCCCACAGTGTTACCAAAACAATGGAAGCTCCACATACTACAGATATTTAACTATCTACAGTTTCCAGCCTCTACAGACTTTTCCTCTCTACTCTGCTCATCAGCTGTATATGCTTCACCATGCTGGATGTATCTTCCAACTACCTGCTCCTCTGTTCACTGTTTCTGAGCTGTGCTGTATTTATGTTATTGATCCTGTATAGTTTATTTTCCTCTCGATCTCTCTTGTCGCCTCCTCTCTGCTCTGAGGAAACACTGCCTGCAGTTCAATCTGAAAACTCTCTACAGGTTTCACTGTTGGCCACAGTTGAGTCAGTCATGGAGAATCAGTGTGTGCTCAGGAGCTCAGATATATTTTTGTTTGACAGGATCTGGCATATATAAGAACTGTTGTAGAAAAGAAAAAGGACTTAAAGGATAAAAAACGAGGACTATTACTTTAGTGAGTAAATCCTGCACAGTGTAATCAGTTCTATGCTCACATACTTTATGTTATTATTACCAACATACTCATCTGATGAAGCTGTATATTGATTTTACATTGTATTGTATTTCATATACTATTGAACTGCTGTTGAACTGTTGTTTGTTCACTGTTTAATTAAAGGTGGAGTCTGTGATTCTGCACTGATTCGTGTTGTGCGGATCAGTCTGACCCACTTTGCTACGTGTACAGATTTTTTTTAGCGCACACAGAACAAACAGCTCGCAGACTGTGAGGAGACATTCAGAGAAATTGACAAAATGTGTCTTGGATCAGTGTCGCTGACTCCACCTTTAAAGGAGAAGAGAGACACACCCAGCCGCCTACTGCAGCTGCACATCAGCTTTTTATATCTCTGTCACCTCCTCCCTCAGTCTGCGAGAAACAAAAGGCGCTTTACCTCTAAAATAAACCACAGAGCTCAGATCAGTCTGTTTCTGTCAGCGTCTTTCTGTCTCTGTGTTCTCAGCCTCTGCCCTCCAACTGAACCCAGCAGGCCTCTCATGACTGAACTTTTTCCTCTATATTATAACATATGCTTTCTAAGCTGTGTGTGCCAACTGGATAATGCATATGAGGGTGTGAGTATCCACAGAGGGACTGACACGCTGGGTTTGTTTTCCCCCGGTGTTCGTAAACAGGAGTCGCACTGCTTTCATGTGCTGAGCTCATTACCATGGCAATGGTCGTGATGGCAACGCTGCAGCAGTGTGACAGGCAACAGTTTGCTGCCACAAACCTCATGTATCCACCTCTTCATCCCCTCCTCGGCACACGCCGTTTGTTCTCAGAAGTCAGGCTGGTATTTCATGTTGGGCTGTTTGTTCAGAGCAGAAACACCTGTGGTTTCGGTCTCACCTGTCCCCACAGCAGCTCCCCCACACCGATGAACACACACCACAGCCACTGCTCGATGGACAGAGCTGTGCAGGAGAACGGCTTCCCTCCGAACTGAACGATGATGATCTGTGGACGAAAAGAAACTCTGAGTGTACAGTCTTAAAGGATGAATCTGGTAACGTTTCATACTGTTTTCTTGCCAACAGAACTAACAATGATGCCCCTAAAAAGGACCGTCTGTGTGTCCACAGCCGGACACGTCCTGTTCCTCTGTGCTACAGAGCTTCACTGTTGTCTGAAAATAATGAAATACATAAAAGTGAGCCACAGTGTTAAACTGAGCACCTGCTCCTTCATTACCACCAACACGTACAGTTCACTGTAATTTATTTTTGACTCATTCAGTCACACTTCTCTGCTGCTGCAAATACTCACTTCAGCTCCAAATACGTGTTAATCCGCAACTGAAAGTAGTCCTCAACAAACGCAGTACTTCTCCTTGTTTGCTCAACGCTGCATTGATGTGTTTTAGGAAATATTTGAAGTACTTGTGAGCTGTTGAAAGATGTGCGACTGCAGCGCTAACCGGTGCCACAGACGGGGCAGGGAGCGCATTAAACATTAAGAGACGTTGCTGGTTTTGACTCCGAGAAACGCTTTGCAGTTCTTTGTTCAGTTCACATCATCAAAATGAATCACATTAAAACCGGGATTGAAACTTTTATCATCCTTTTTTTTAAGCGCTACAGAAATGTATAACTGTCTCTTTGTTTAATTTTTAATTGCCCATGAATGGGTTGTTGCTTCAGAATTTCAGTTTTCAAAAAGGTATTTGAAGGCTGCTGCTGCGTTTAATCCGAACAACAACAACACACGTTGTCCTGAAGCTGGAGTCTGAGCGCTGCTCACACGCGTCTCCAAACCCTGTAAAATAGGCTAGCTGTAAATTATGCATGCTCAGATGCGCATCATAATTCGTAATGAAGTTGTGTGACTGGGTCCGTGAATCCAGACGACTCCCCTGGGAGTTACTGGTACAAACCAACAACACGCACAAAGCAACGAAATAGAAAATTTGAATAATTTTTAACCAAAATGTGGACAACATTTGTGAAAAGCTGATCAGCCTCTGACCTCAGGCCGACGACCATCAGCCCTGTGTAGGAGGCCGTCGCTCATCATTGGCTGTACCATGGTGGTAAGTAAGGAGGGTTTTTAATAGTATTTTCTTTTTGTTTGTCCCCTCTTCCTTCTTTTTATATGCTCATTATTATTTCTATATTTATACTGTACTGAGAGTTTTTTATCCTTATTGTAAGTACCAACACAATTTTGCATCTTATTTCTTCTGCCAGTATAATTTGCACATTAGTTTCCTCATTTTTTTGAAGTGTAACATGTGTGAGCTACTGAATACCTTGAATATTCCCAGCAGGATGAATAAAATATCCATCCATCCATCCATCCATCCATCCATCCATCCATCCATCCATGACAGCATAATTTACCTGCAGGATGAAGGTTCCCAGTACGACGCTGCAGAAGATGGGGTTCTTGTAGATGCCCTCGAACACGTTTCTCTCTCCGTGGATCTTCCTGGCGTTGATTTCGTTGAAAAGCTGCATCATGACGAACACGTTGAAAACAATGGTATAGTGCTCTGACGGCGGGGAGTGCAGGGGGGCGTTGCGGCCGCTGTCGATGTCGAAAAACTTCTCACCTGAGAAAAAATGGCAGAAAAGAACAACAGAGTGGATTTAAAACATTCTATAATTACACACAGATCTCCCCAAACACGTAAGCAGGTTTCCCCTGAACTCACCAGCAAAGAGCAGGGTAAAGATGATGACGAGCTGGAACACAGCGTGGCCCAGGATGTTCTTCATCATGGTCCTGGAGATGAGAGGCTTGTCGCGGCCGTATGGTTTACGTAGCAGCAGAGACTCGGTGGGCGGTTCGGTGGCCAGAGCGAGAGAAGCCAGAGTGTCCATGATGAGGTTGACCCAGAGCATCTGCACGGCCTTCAGGGGAGAGTCCTGCAGGACGAGGAGCACACGCCAGCAGGTTAGTCTTACTCTTTTTTTTTTATTGCTTCCACTCGTTGACAAATTGAACATGTGGCGACATGTGACGTGAGCAAATCATTCTTTTTATATTGAATCATTTTCAACCTGCTAAATTGCTTCACTTCAGTTCCCCCAGAGAATATGTGTGTCTTTGAATAGGCTTTCCTGCAATTGCATCACATTTAGCGTTAGCACACAGTGAGAGCATCACTTGACGATGAAGCGACATCTGCAGCTCCTGGTGTGATCTGCTGTTAGACTCCTTTTAGAGCCACACAGAACATTCCTGCACATTTAGGCTGCGCATCCTCAGCAGACCTCCACTGGGCATGAGAGACGTTCTGAGACGTGTTTCTCCTTTTTTAGGTTCTTCTGGTAAAAAAACACTAAACAAAAACCTGTTATTATGAATAGTAAATATTCTCCTAAAGATGCAAAATTGTCCTGTTTTTAAAACATGGAGGAACTCTATCGAGGAGATTAAACATCGTTTTAAAAGTGTACATAAATATAAAACAAAATATTCAGTCTAGTCCATTTTACACATTCTTTTCTTGTCAAAGGTCTACTGTGGCTGGTCGGTTTTAAACGTCTGTGTAGGTTCATTTACATTTTATTAGACAGTGTAAACAGATATTTCCCTCCTTCTCTCAGTCTGTCATGTCTCTGTAATTACATCCGCGCTGTGTGTGCGTTAACACAAAGAACAATGAAATGCATCGCTGAGAAATAACTGTCAATAATAACAGGCAATTACTCTACATCTTTGAATTTTCATGGGCCAGTGATTAAAACTGTGTCCTCTGCTGGAGCCATTTAATCAATTGGATGTGCTGGAAATAATTTTGTCTGTGTCCTCACAAATTTCATGGAGTTTTATTTCTGGAGATATTGAACCCTGAAAATGGCTTCGCAGTCATTTTTTTGAGGGTGACAATACAAATAATCAGTTTCCAAACATGTGAATCCAGAATTCAGCCAAATTATTTTACAGAACTTAGTTTTGGGTCCCTAATAACAAATGAGTAAACTCAAACAAAAAACAATCACAATCCGAGCCAGAGCATCGACACTGCTTTCTGAAACAACACGACTCGGCAGAGAACAGCAGCAGCGACTGTCGATGTTCCTCAGCTGGACAGGCGCTACAATTTTCTCTTTAAAACTTTCCACCGTTGTTGTGGTGATTCTAAACTTAATGCTGTCCTCCCGTCACAGATGTGCAGCGCTGGTTTTGAAGAATGTGTACGAGCCCAGAAGGAACACAGTCCTCGGAGGCACACATGAATGCAGAGTTACAGTGAGCGTATTGGCAGCCGTGTACCGCATCATTATGAGCAGCACAATAACCAGTTTAATCATCGTGTGTCTGGACTCATTGGCTTGACTGATTTAAACGCATAAAAATGCAGGGAAAAGCATTTGCACACACACACACACACACACACTCCTCAGTGGACGCCCCTGGGTCCATCCTCTGTGTGCACAACAAAGACATAAATCAGCCCTTAATGATCTGTGCCAACATTTCAGCAGCCGAACAGAAAGCGAGCGCCGGATGATCAGTGAGTATAAACGCAGCGCAGAGACCACAGACCTGCTGAGTCCCTGCTATATTTCAGGATTATGATGGTGACGTGTTGCCATGGTTTCAGGCTGAATCTTAGCCTACTTTGTGTTCTGTGCTCCGTAGAAGAGTTAGTTATCTGTCCTGCCAGCTGTGAGCCTTTCAATTAATACACAGCCCCGAGATTTCTTCTTTATTGTGTCAGGAGTTCAGTTTCCTGATTAGGGACACATTATGAAACAAAGAAGATGTGACACGACCACCTCGCCTCCTCGCAGCGCTCAGACGGCCGCACCGAACCCACAAACCGCTCTCTGTTTTCTCCTTTCTGTGGGTATTTGATCAGAGCTTTGCAGATGTTTCCAGAGTGAGTGAGCCGACGCATCAAACACCGCAGCGCATCTCAGGATTGAATTCATCGATCAAAACACAAGCTTCAGGTATTCAAACAAACATTCTCAAAAAGTGTGTTAACTGTACAGTCAAAATGACGTCTGAGCTGCTTTAGACATCTGAATTTTAGATCAAAACACTCCATCGAGGCAAATGTTTCCCGCTCAGTGCGTTACTAGTCTGTACACAGCATCGAGCTGCCTGATAAAACTGATGTTCTGCTGAGTTTGTGCGACATAAAAAACAGGCGTTTTCCAGCAGGAGACTTGAACAACTCTGTTTGGAAAGAATGAATCTTTCTAGAATAATTTGGGTGCATCTGCAGCGAAAATCATTTTTAGTGTAAACCAGTTAGGAACCTTTCTCGCATGGTGTAACACTGACAAAGACGTGAGATAGTTTTTATCTTTGGATGTCATCCAGAACTCTGTGCTGTTGATCTAAATAGTCAAACTAATCAGTTGTGTTGCCTTCATACGAACAGCTGGAGCTGCCTGACTACCAACAAAGCGATGATTATTTGGATCAATATTGCGATCACAATTATTTATCACAGTTTTCATTCATTGATTTCAGAGACAGAACAAATACAGCTCTGCTTCCACTGCATGCTGTGCTACATTCCTGCTCATGTAAAAATCTGCATCAAAATCAGACTTTAAATAATCTTCAGCTGAATTCAAAGCATCTCCTGGAGGATAAATAGAATTTAAATTGGACCCTGAAGTCGTCACTGGCTGAACATCTGCTTATCTACAGACACTACAGTTAACAGATGTTCCCTAAACGCCTCACAGTCATCAGTAGAAGCTGTTCATAATATAAGATGAGAAAATATGTTGACAACAGTCCAAAGGAAACCACTACCTTTATGATAATGACGTAGACTCTGCAGACAACATGCAACCTAAACCTGAGAATGAATTCGTAAACTAGATAAATTTCTTTCCGTTCTGATATGAACTCAGGTCAATAAAAACAGGTCGTAATTACTTTTCTATGTCATTTAAATAATGACAGGATGCTCTCAGGCCTGTTTCACAGCCAGTCATGCATTAAAAAGTGAACACGATCAGTCCATTATCAGCAAATTGAAGCTTTTTTTTTTTCAAGAGAGTTATTTGAAAAAAAACAAAAAAACCTGTTTACTAGAAAATGAACACAAATGTGAAATAAGAATTTGGATTTCCTGAAGCTGACATTTTACTTTGATTAAAGGATTTCATGCTGAGTTTATTCTGATACCGGCAGCTCTGGACTTTCATAAAAACACCAGATACCAGCTGTAACCCTGACTAGTCACTTATGAAAAACATGTGAAGCAACTGACTGGCTTCAGTTTGAATGTGTAACATCTCCCAACTGTTGATGAGATTAAGTTTTAACATCCTATTAATAAGGCGACACTGACCGACCTGTCTGTGGTTATTTAGACTCATCCTGTGACGACTGATATCAACATATTAATTTCAGACCTGAGTGATGCAGGCGCCGGTGAACGCCACGATCACGGCCACCACGTTGACGGTGAGCTGGAACTGCAGGAACTTGGAGATGCTGTCGTAGACGTTTCTGCCCCACATGACGGCCTTGACAATACTGGTGAAGTTGTCGTCAGTCAGGATGATGTCAGACGCTTCTTTGGCCACATCTGTGCCGGCGATTCCCTGATAGGAAGCAGAGAGAGACGATCAGGTGGAAAATCAGAGCAACCAGTCAGCAGCTGGTTCAGCGTGACGACCTTCTGAGTGTCTGACAGTCGCTGAATCCCATGAAAAGAGCCACAGCGGCAAAGAATTGATTGCTCATCTCAACCTTGAGAACACGTGCAAAAAGCGACACAATGTTAAATTACACTACGTATTTGTGAGCTGCTTTAAAGATTCACATCTCTGGTACGAGGAAAAGTGCTTGAGTCAAGTGAAACAAACCAGGTGGGGAAGTCAGAAAGAACTGAGACGAGCTGACAGGTCAGTCCAGAGCCCCACATCCCACAGACATTAGACTGCTGCAGTTCTGCTGTTGAAACTATGATCCATCCCATAATATTGATGCTCAGAGCTGGTTATAGGAAAAATGGTGCTGAACAGAAACAGTTTTAGTCTTGAACACCTGGATGGATGTAAAACTGATTTGGTTGCAGTTTTTACCAGAACTCAAATGTGTGTTTTTTTCTTTTTTTTAGCCCTGAAGATTTCATTTCTATTCCCTGAAATGATAAATTTAATTATAGATTTGGACCCACATCGATGTACTTTCAAGTGCACAGAGTTGAGTTCGAGAGGTGGACGAGTGATTATCTTTCAGTGAGTTGAATGTGGCTGCTTCCAGTCTCGCCTGCAGGAGAAAGCTGCTGTTCTCCAGAAGTAAAACCTCAGCATCAATATTCTGCTGAACTTGCTGAGCAGTATGACAGGTACCAGGGAGAGGAGGCAGAAAGTCCACATGCTCAGCTTCAGAGTTGGAACTGTTTGTCTGAAAAAATAAATTCTGTAGGCTGTTTTTCACCTCATGTTCAAGCGGAGAACAATGCAGCCGACGGCCACTAGGAGATTCAAGTTTAAACCCACGTTTCAGCATAATGCCGCTAAAGTGCCAAAGCTCTGAGAGGAAATATTCTGTACCGCTGAGCTGAGGCAGTGATTAAAATAAAACAGAGTCAGTCTTGTGTTAACAGTAACTGTAAAGAAGCTGCTGCGTCTCTATGCGCAGCCAGACTCTCCCAAACAGATGGAGCTGTATTGCTCTCTGTTTTCCAGCTAAACAGGCGATAATTGAACAGGGACACAAACTGAAAACATTCCAAATGGGACATATTCTGACTGAAAGGTCACTGCTTTAAATCCTCAGATCGCTGCTGTGATGATACGGCTCAGCAGCGTGAAGGAGGCGCTGGCGTTCGGATGACTTTCCTCAGTAAATAAAGGTCACAACAACACACAGGAGTCGGTGGATGTTAATGAGCTTCACGGTTCTGTTGTGTGTTTTAATCGATCGGTGTCGGTGATAACATCAGCCGATCAGCCGCTCAGTGGAGATCTCTATGTTCTGAAGCCAGTTTCACACTTTCAATGAACAAATGAGCTCCAGCAGCTGATTCATTCATTAATGACAGTCAAAGTATTCATTCGGTCTCAGCAGCGCTTCTGAGATAAACCAGAAGCTTTGACTGCATTTCAGCCTTTAAACCCTCACAGATCACAAACCCCGTCCTCACAGGCTGTCATGTCATGAATCAGTCATTTTTCAAACTATGCTGGTTCCTCACAAGTGTCATCATTTGGCATATAAATCCTCCACCTGTTGTAGGCAAGTTCTTATGAGAACCATCAACAAACTGTACACAGCAAATTAATGAAAAGAGAGAGAGTTTGTGATGCAGGGAGTCTTAGCTGGGTCTTAAAATATGTACAACGAAAACATTTTCATTGATTTGGTATTTGGGCTTTTTTTCATTTTTTCACATTTATTTGGGAATACCTAAACATCTGACACCACAGTTCCCATCACGCTTTGGGGGTAAACAGAAAGTGTCACAAGGCGGCTGTCTTTAACCTGCTAAATCACCATGGCAACTGATGCTGCACAGCTAGATCACCATGGTAACTGATGCTGCACAGCTCGATCGCCATGGTAACTGATGCTGCACAGCTCGATCGCCATGGTAACTGATGCTGCACAGCTAACCTGCTCTGGAGGAGGCTCTGTTCACAGTTCAGGATGTAAATTGGCTGTAAGAAGCGTCTCTCTTTCACCAGTTCCACGACTGAATGATACAGATTCTCAGAGGTTTTCTCTGTGGAAAAAAATTCACTGAACAAAGCTGCGCAGGTACAGCAGGATACCTGTATGTTGCCATAGGAACCTACATGAATTAGTTAATTAATTTCACTTTGGTTTGTGTAAAAACTAAATTTATTTCCCCATTTATTTCATTATGGGACAGAGTCAGACTTAATTGTTTATGTTTAAATGAATGAAGGTAAAAAAGAGCTCCACTGCTCTCCATATTAACAGCCTGTTCCTGATTGAAGGAGGCAGCACACAATCTCAGTGGCATCTCTTCTGGAGCGCGCTCAGAGCAGCTAAAACTGTACAGAATTATTATTACTGAAAGTATCTAAATAACGTTTGCAGGTCATCTTTAATGAGTCTGCTAATGCTTTTTTTACAGTAAAAATGAAGAAAGACTGACAGATGTATGGATTGTAAGAATGTTCAAAATCACTGTGATGCTTTGGAGAACTGAGAGCAGGGTTCAGGATTTGGTCGTGGTAGCGAGACATTGTTTAATTTATAAGACAAGAGTACAAGTGTAAAACTATAAAAGAAGCAGAATAAGTCCTGTGTGCCGATCTGCAGAAAACAAAGGCAGTAACAGACTTGGACCCCACTGATGAGCTGAGGCAGCCAAGCTCAGCGTTGACTGATTTATTATTCCATTTCACAGCTATCTTAATGAATCCACGGCATTAAACTCAAGACTTATTGTGGATGGCGCTCAGAGAAAATACCTATTTCATGGCTGCATTAGAAATGTAATTAAGTTAAAGGTTTATTTTTTTCTTTTGGTAATGATGCAGAGAGAAACTGAAGCAGCAGATGAGCGACGCAGCGGAGAGCTGTGGAACAAAGACGACTAAAATAAAAGGTGAAAAACGAAGCGTTAGTTACCATGGCAAAGCCAACATCAGCTTTCTTGAGGGCAGGACCGTCGTTGGTGCCGTCTCCTGTCACTGCCACCACCTGTCGGGTTTCACCCACTGTGCTGTCAATGATGCCTGATCAGCAGAAACAGAACAAGAATCTCAGTTCCACTAAGTCAGAACATTTTAGGACACATGGAACGTTCATTTACTGTTGCTTAGTCGCAGTTTGACCAGATGATATTTAGTGTACGACTACATGTAGCTCATCTTGTGCAGCAGGACGAGGTAACGTGACAGCAGTGATCCAGCATGTTAACAAATACACATCCAACTACATTAACTCTGCCGATGGGTTTGAAAGGCAGCTTGTCTTTACAAAATCACCCAAATCACAAAATTAATCAGAGCCAGAAACTGTAGAAGCAGAAACAATCGGCAGACTTTGAACATTTAGAGGATACTTGAACTACTTCTCTGTATGCCAGTGTTGGTAAAACCTGTGGACACGTGGAAACATGTTTGTCCTGTTGATTCCATTTTATTACACAAATCAATAATTATAGAAATGCAGCTTTAGTTTGTTCTTTTCTTATGATTCCTGTCACTGCAATTGTGTCACACAGCACAGAATACATTTCTCAGTTCTCTCTCCTAGTCATGGTTCTGCAAGACTTTATATTGCAGTGAAAAATGAGTCCACAGTGAGAACAAAGAGTTAAGTCTCTGTCAGAATGAACCCACCTTTGACCAGAGTGTGCTTGTCTGTTGGTGATGAACGAGCCAGAACGCGCAGTTTGGGCCAAACTTTATCCAGACGCTCCTGTTCCACCTAGAAAAGAAGCAATAAAAGATTTTTTTACACAACAAATTTTATACCAAATATACTATTATTTGTACAGACAGGCCTGCCGTAGATTAACCAGTACCTCCTTAGTTACCAGAGTTTTCCAGCATAGACGAGAAACTTTTACTTTTGCAAACAAAGCAATAAATAACTTTGAGTAAAGGACGATTAGTGTGGGCTACCACTTAATCTGCTGCAAATCTAAACCTACAAATAGACTGAGTTCAGCTTGTATCAGGTATATGGTATCAGTTTATATGTTGGCTGATAAGTAAGATGAAAAAATGTGGTACAGAAATACAAAACTGGATCTGAAGTGACATACAAGCAAAAAGACAAATCCTGTCATGACTCTGTTGTAGGCAGCTTGGACCGTGCTGCTTTCTACAGCCAACACTGCTGAACTCTAATGGGATGGATCTCTGGATGTAAAAGTAGTCGTGGAAGTTTCTACTAGGATGTTCTCTCCACTGAGCTGTGATTTGATTGAGGTTCACTTGTTTTGGTTGTATTTTGGAGTCAACCTGTGGTCGAAGATGGAGGTGGGCTACAGCAAACTGGAGTAAAACGAATATATTTGGAACTGGTCTCACCTCTCCTCTGTCGTTTCTGATCTGCCGGTTGAACTCTTTGCCCTCCAGACAGAGGAAGTCCTCGCCGGGTAGCAGGATGCCACACTTGGTAGCGATGGCGCGGGCAGTGTTGATGTTGTCTCCGGTCACCATGCGAACAGTGATGCCTGCACGCTGACACTTGGAGATGGCTTCAGGCACCTGGAGGAGCGCCACAACAGAGGAAACCTTTCACTTTAAAGATACCGGAGGGATGACAGAGACACTTGTCAGCTTCTCGGTTTAAAAATGACTTTGAAGCCTAAAGGTAGCAAGCAAGTGTATTTCTACAGCGCCTTATCATACAAAGAGGTTATTCAAAGTGCTTTACAGGTAAAACATTAAAACATCAAAATGCAGCAGAGCAAAACTGAATTATTCAATTTCCATAATTCCCAAACAGCACAGACAAGCTGAATAAGGTGCACTCAAATTGTATAGAACAGTCAAAACTGATAAAAATGAAGTGAATAAAAGTGCAGGTGCGTAGAGTTTGTAAAGGGAACAGCTGTCTTTAGCTAACCTTAAAGAACGGCTACAGCTGTATGACGGCTAAACATCATGCCACCGTGTCTGCTCTGAACTCAGACCAGAACTGACCTGCAGATCTTAGAGACCTTCAGCAAACACATCTGACATATTTTAATCCCATTCAGAGTTACACACTCCTCAATAAGACCATCAGACATCATCAGACATGCAGCTCATTCAAAATGCTGCTGCTGGAATAGAGACCAACAGAAGAAGAAAGAACACATCTCTCTGATTCTTAGATCTCTGCACTGCTTCCAGTTAAATACAGAACTGAACTGAAGGTTCTGTCTGTAAGCCAGTCGTCCACTCTACAGGTAATAAGAGCACGCGTGAGTTTATCCAAATCTTGTTGGACACCGAGTTGCTCAGTTTGTTTTAAATGCCAGTGTGAGGATTTAGTCTCAGCTTTGATGTGGCTGCTGAATTTAGATCTTCATCAATGATGAAACCGGCGCGACTCATCCTGTAGCAGCAGCAGCAGCAGCAGCAGCAGGTTCTACCTGAGAACCCACTTATGTTCATCTCATCCTGACTGAGAGCTCACTCATCTCCATCTGTGGGAGTGGATGGAGTGAATAGAAAGAGGCTTCCACAGACATTTGTGAAGAGTCTACGGTGACCTCACGGCTGCTGCTTCCTCTGTTTAACTCGACTGATACGATCGGACACCTGACAGAGACAAAGGCTTCTGTGTGCCGGACTCCACATACAGACGTGACTCATGCAGAGGGAGGCTGGACCTCAGTGAGCACAGTCACAAACTCTAAGGCCACACACACCTGCTCTGTTGTGGAGCCTCAATAGTGATGTGCAACATCAGCATAATAACTTTGTGGTGGACATGAAGCTAGAGAGACACTCTGCATGCAGACTCTGGAGGGGGATTTCTTTGATCACCAAAAACAAACAGGTCATCAGCTCTTCAGGATGTTGGCCTTCTGCCTTTTGGCCTCAGTGTTTCAGCATGCTGTGCACAGCTTTGGCAATCTGAGTTTGAGTTTAAGAGGATAGCCCTTTGAGATACAGCATCTCGTTTTCAGGATGGTCCTAAAATACAAATATAAAATACATACAGACACAGCTTTATGTAACAAACACTACAAATACACCAACACAGACAGCTCGCTCACCCTCTCCACCCCCAGACCGGAGCTACTGAGAGAAAAATCAGTTACAAAGACCTAGATAATGCAACTATTGCATCAGCATCTGAAGCAGTCTGATTCCTGATTATCTGAACACTAATGAGCTAAAAATTGAAAGTCAAGCAGATTAAAAGCAAACAGGTCGCTTTGGGATGAGAAAGTAAAGATGAGCTGCAGCAGCGAAAAGACCTGATAGATCTTAGGAACAGACGAAGATTATTCCAGACAGAAGGAGCTTTGTATTCAAACGACCTGCGTCCATCTTCTTTGAAAATTCTTGGGACAAAGAAAAGGGATGTAGCAGACATCTGAGTACATATGAAGATCTACAGAAACTGTTTCAAACAGGAAGGACAGTTGAAAAAACATACCCGAGAATACACCAGTTTATTCATTTGTTCTAGATTTAGGCAGCAACCAGTGAAGCGATCCGTACAAGAGAAGATGGTGAGTGTATACGGACACCTCAAACCAAACGTACATAGAATAGAGAATTAAACACATTAGGACGTCTATGTTCAGAGTCAGAGATAATTATTAGGCCACTGTGAGCTTCCTCTGACTTTGTGGTTGTTGGTAGAGCTACACTGCATTTTCTTCAGTTTGTTAAAAACAATGTTTTTCTGACTCCAAGCCGGTTAGCGTCGGCTCTCTGTTGTTTCCTTCTTTGGTAAAGATGGCTGTGTTCACGTCACCTCATAGTTCTTCTCTTTTAAGTGTTGCTGAGTGATAATTTACTTAATTTACTGTATTCAGGCACAAACTAACGGTAACTCATAAAATGTATTCGACCATCTAGTGTGAAATGTAAAAATGTTTACAGTTTGTCTTTTAGAAGATGCTGTAATTATTAAGTAATCATGATAAAATTCTAACAACATGGTCACAGTTAAAGGTCTCTATGTAAAGACAACAGCAGCCGGTCTAACCAGTGTCTCCTCTGCTGGATATCACGTGGTTCTATCGTAACTGTACAGACAGAAGAAAGGTTTGGTATTTGGATTTGCTGACTTGAGTTGCTTTACTAAATAGTTGGAAACTGAAGAGAGGTGTGCCCTGACATGAGTGTCTTGGCCTTTTGGTCAGGGAGCTGATCATTAATGCACTGGGCTGAGGGCTGAACGAGTCCTTATACAGCTACAGGATGTGTTCAAAGTCCTTGCTGTTACAGTTAGAAACATGATGCCTGAGAATCTGAACAGAGAAGACATAAAGTGAGGAGATAAACATCGAGCTGCTGATTGACTCCTGCTGCTCGGCAGGTATTTCCATCCTGTCGGTGATCTTTGTGCTCTGACATTAAAGCAGCAGGCAGCAGCAGTGACGCTCTCTGAGCTTCATTTCAGGCATCGTTTAGCACCACAGAGCATCTGGACTCTGCACACCTGACCAGGAAGTCTGGATGTTGGTCGTCTTCCTTATGACTCTAACATAACATAATATAATCATAAGCAGCCTGTCAGATTAGTTCAGTTAATCTGCAAATGTAGAAGATTTTAGCTCCGTGTTCTCTCTCTTCTTACACGTTCTTTCAGCCAAACTCATTTTTGTACCAGAAAAAAAACAAGCTGCAGACACCAAACCCTCATTATCAAGCAGATCTGCAGATACAAGACTGAAGTTTAAATGGTTTTCATTTCAATATGGGAACAGATTCGATGTAACACTGCAGGTAGCAGAAGCTCTTACTGCTGCTCGGCAAAGGAACAAAGCTATCTCTGTCATTTTACGCATGAACAACTGAGCGCAACAGTGCCAATGTTTGAGGAGCGACCTTCTGAAAGTGTGCACCATTATTCCCATTCATGCATTCATGGTGTTGAAACACAAAAACACACAAAGCATACAGAGTAGTTGGAGAGAGGATGGAGAGGCAGCTGGAAGCAGCTAAAGGGAGGTTAAGGACAGCAGGTAGGAACAGCTGGACTGTCTCTCAGTCTGCACGTTTTCACAGTTTATAGATTTTTTTACAGACACAGCAGAAATCCCTTAAATCTGTGTCATAGCAAACTGTAGTTTCTATTGATGCTCGAAGACTTTCAGTGATTTTTGAAATGTGTTTTAATCACGTTAAATTATCTTGTTTTGCATTGATGCTGTAGATTTTATTGCTGCTCTTTGTTTTTACTGTCGAGCACTTTGTAACTGTGCCATACAAACACAGTCGGTTCATGTATAGTTCAGGCTGGTAAACACAGTGACTGGACATGAAGGCAGATAAGCAATCGGAGTTATTTCTAAAGGTTTATGTTACCTTTCAGTGGGAGCTGCTTATCTCCTCCAGGTGTTTGATAAAACCACAGGTTTCCTCCATCACTGGGTCACAGCAAAACTTTAGACTGTTTTCCTCTGAATAACTTGACTTTTTTTGTTTTCATTTTTTGTTCAGTGAATAACCACAAAACTAATGCGTTGTTTTTGTTTTTATGATTTACAGCTTCAAAACTTTGTTATACTGCTGTTATACTTTTTAATAATTAACAGCATTCAGATACATCTCTGAGTTCTCTCTCCTTCTTCATGGTTGTTCTGTTTCCATACAGCTGCAGGACTTTATACTGCAGTAAAAAAAAAGCCTGCAGTGAGGAAAAATGTGTTTGTTTTTATTGTGCTTTTATTCAGATTTGTCTTTTAGTGTTTGTGTTGTACAGGTGGCTACTTTAAACTGTACAGCTCTTTGGTTTAACTGATGTTGTTTTAAATGTGCCTAATAAATACATTTTACTCGACAGGAACAAAAAACCCTCAGAACTGAAGAAGAATCAACAAAGTAGTCTGAGATGACAGATAGGATTTAGACAAACTGTCGCATCAGTAATGTTTCTCTGAAATGAATCAGAAATCTCCTCACTGACAGCTGACAGTGATAAAGCACGGTGTGGAATGACCCTGAGATCAGGGGTTCACTACTGGAGCTCTGACTGTACCTCTGGTCTGACGGGGTCCTCGATTCCCACCACGGCGATGCAGGTCAGTTCGTTGAGGATGTCGTTCTCGCTGTCCCACCCCGGCTCTCCGGCTTCGGCAGGAAAGTCCCTGTAGGCAACGCAGATGGTCCTCAGCCCGTCGCAGGCCATCGGCTCGATCACCTTACGCACCATCTCGTCGCGGTCCTTGGGCTTGAAGATGCGAGGCTGACCCTGGGCGTCCAGGATACGAGAGCATCTGGGAGGCGGGGGGAGATTATGAGGCATTAACAAACAGGTAAGAAACAGCATCCATTGTCCCTCCATCCAAACAGCCCGGCTCCCCTCAGACGGATGAATGAGGGATTAGCTCGCACAATGAGCTTACTGTGTCTCTTTTCTTACTTCCTCAGGACGATCTCTGACGCTCCTTTGCTGTACATGCGGTAGCCGCCGTCAGCGTTCTTCAGCACCGTGCTCATGGATTTGCGGGAGGAGTTGAATGTGTAAACCTTGTAGAACTTCTCTTCGGGCACCTCGTCTCTGATTGGCTGGTAGTCCCTCTTCAGCTCGAGCACCAGGCCCAGCAGAGCGCACTCCGTCTTGTTGCCCACGTGGCGAGGCAGGCCGCCTTCTTTCTCCGGAGGCTGAGGGCACACAAAGTTTGGATGTGATGTAAAAAGTAACTTTACTTATGTCTCTGGTTTTTGGAGAAGTGAACGTTTCTTTTTACACTAAACTCAGTAAACTCTCAGACACACTCAGTGAAAAGCTCTTATTCAAGCTGTTAGGATCATTTAGAGTTTTATAAGATTCATGTTAATTCAGTCAGAGAGAACACATGCAATCCTACTTTAATCAATCATACTGAGAACACTGACTTTGTTTTGCCCTTAATTTGGTGTACACATGAGTAAGCAGGACCCTTTAAACCTGGACGTTTAAAAGAGACAGCTCCAGGTCTACTTTCTACTGTATTATGTGCCAAACTGCAGCATGTTGGGATGGTGGGTGGCAGCCATGATGTGCGTCACCTGAACTCAGTCCTGACTCTGAAAATGTCTCGTGTTGATGCTGCTGCTCTTGTGTAGGCACAGTGTTAAATGTATAAGCTGCTTCCAGTTACCTAAAATACCCAAACCTGCTGAGGGTAAACAACCTGTTTTCAGGCAGGGCAGTAGGCTTCTCCTTTTTTGACTGAAGGTATTTTTTATCGTCCAATAACAGTTTTTTGGAGCTGCTCTGTGCTATGGTACATTTAGGTCAGTATGCACTCTGGTAACCCCAGTCAAGCCCTTTTTCCTTTAGTAAAAGTGAAACATACTGTACAAACAGTAAATCAACTATCTGTGCTCTGAACGAGTTTATGTCAGAACAACATAACTTTTGATTTACTCTTTATTTGTTTGGGTTGCTCTCAGTGGTTTAAGCTGAGGTTTCAGTTAAGTTAATCCTCCAGGGAATCAACACCATGTCCTAAAAAGTAACAAAAGCAAAAGTGTGTTTCTACTCTGCGATCTCTGTCTTTGTGAAGAACAGTTTCTAACCTTCAAGTGAAGCTTCTTTATTGAAAAAAGGACATTTTGTGCGGTTGTTAATTCTTCAATGTGTTTTATCTTGAGGGTCTTTTTTCTGTGACGCAGACATGAAACTGGTGAGTTTACTGTTGAAACTATGATATGTACCATTATACTGATACTCAAAGCTGGTTTAAGAAATAATGAACAAATAACAGATTAAGTCTTGGAGTGGATGCAAAGCTGATTTTAACAGAACTCAAAGGTGCTTTTCAGTTCTGAAAATTTGATGTGTCTGTTTCCTGTTCTTATGAAGTTATGAGGCTCAGAAATGATGGAAAAAAACATGTTGTATGGCTTAATTGAATGTAATAAAGTTACTACATATAAAAAATCAACTGAGGTTGGGCTCGGATTAGCGTCTGTGTTCATGTTGTTCTTTGGTGCAGCTGGACAGTGAAGGTCTCACCAGGATCTTGGTGGTGTATGCAGAGTTGATGGAGATGCTGTTGACCATCGTTTCCAGAGTCTCGGCTTTGATGGCGTCAGGTTCAGGCACGGTCTTGTAGTGTGTATCGCCGATGTAGGCCTGCACCACCGTCATGCGGTTCATGGTCAGAGTACCCGTCTTGTCGGAGCAGATAGCCGTGGCGTTGCCCATGGTCTCACAGGCGTCCAGGTGACGCACCAGGTTGTTGTCTTTCATCATTTTCTAAAAGATGCAGAACGACGCTGCTCATCAAACTTATCAAAACAACTATGACACAACTCTGAGGGCGACCATTAGTGTCACATTTGTCATAATCCCCTTCACTTGCTGTTCCTGCTCACCTTGACAGAGTAGGCCAGAGAGATGGTGACGGCGAGCGGCAGCCCCTCAGGAACAGCCACCACCAGCACCGTCACGCCGATGATGAGGAACTTGACAAAATACTGGATGTATATGGGGGTGCACTCGGCCAGCCAGGTCCGACCCTGGATCCCGAAGGTGTCAATCACAAAGTAGAGGATGAGGATGATGACGGTCAGAGCCGACATGATCAGACCTGGTTGAAACAAACACAAAGTCCCACTCAACTCAAGTAATGTTAATGATTACTGGTTACTTTCCATTAACAGTTTAACAGAGGAAAAATATTTTAACTCATAAGCCAGAAGATGAAGGACGTGCATGTCAGAGAATGTGTTGTAGATCAGCTGTAGTACCAGGTTGTTCCACCAGGTGGAGTCTCTCACTGTTTTATACTGTATCGACCAGGCGAACACTCAGACTGCGCTCAGTTCATGTTGGCAAGAAGAGCGCGTTGTGGGGCTTTGGGCAGAAACAGGCCACCATACCAGAGACGTCTGTGGTGGTTAATGACGTCTGAGCAGCGTGTACATTCTCAAAATAAGCTGGGCTTATGTTGCTACTGCTGAGTGGTTGGTGTAATTTTACTAATTTAATAATAGTAATAATATCTTTATTTATAGAGCACTTTTCATACAAAAATGTAGCTCAAAGTGCTTTCCAATTTAAAAACATAAAACAAACAAAAACAAAACACGCACATATAAACCCACGTACTTGCCCCACACATCGGGAATACTGTCTACTGTACCTAATCACACTAATGATAATAACTGATTGATAATGTTGCTGACTACTGGGTAAGGAAATTATTTAAATTTTGCATTCCTATATTGTACATACAGAGAATATAATAGCAGAAGACGTTGTAGTCATTCTAAATGTTATCCATAAACGTTTCATTGGAATGGCCAAACTTCAAGAGGCCACTGGTTTCCATACGTTTTCCTAAAAATGACCCTATGAACGACACCTTAGCTTGTTTTGTTGTGGAGGCTCTTCTAAATGTCCAGTTATTGTGAGCAGTTTGCTGAAGTAACGCCGGCAGTCAGAGTTGGTGGCTTCACAGTTAGAGAAGCACACCATGTAATCAGAATGTCTCTGGTTTGATTATGATCTTTGTTAAAAGCATAAACGTTCATGTTCTAAAATGCATTTAGCCTTTAATGTCTGGTTTCACCACCTGCTGACTGGCAACACCTGAACATATCAGGCTTAGAACAGGAACTGAATTCAGAGAAGAAAAATGCTTAAACTACAGTTATAAAGGATTACGGTTTGTATTTTAGCAAATCAGTGAGGTCTGGATGCAAACCACAGGTAGAAGAATTGATAAGTAGCCATCACACGTCAGACTGCAGTAAAAATAAGTGATGTTTTGTCTGTAGGTCAGACGACATTCTGTGTGTGTGAGACAGGTGAAAACAGGTGAAAACAGGTGAAAACAGGTGAAAACAGGTGAAATGTTCAATCCACTGCTTGTGTTTTTCTACTTCATCTCTCCTCTCAGTCACCTCCGGTCAAAGTGTTTTGGCCCAAATTCTATTTCTGTCCAGTAATTTTTACTGAAGCAGGTCTGATGCTGGTGCCCCCCTCCCGCCCTCCAATCTGTCCTGAAAGCCCCTCAGTGTATTAAGGTCAATTGAAATGACACAGAAAATACCTTCAATTCCGGGATAAATCATGTTCCCAATAAAACATCCATCCAATAAAACTGAGTGCATTTTGACCCTCAGCCTCTCAGCGTCCCCTCAGTGCCTGATCTGCTTTTAAAGGAACAGTCCCACATTTCTGGAAACGTCTCTGCTTCCCAGAGTCAGATGAGAAGATCACTTTCATCTCTGTGCAGCCAGTAAAGAGGCTGTTCTGAAGTTTATTAGCTTAGCTCAGTCAAAAGAAAGAGAAACCCTGCTTTCTAGAACTCCCCAGCTGTCTGATTTACATGCTGAATCGTGTTAGAACTACAATCACCGATCCATCTTGTGGTTATCTCGGTTCAGATAAAGTTAACACAGAGCTCTGGTTACAGAAAGATGAAAGAGGCTGTGGTCATCTCGAGAGCAGGGTCACATTTTCAACTGATCAGCTAATTAGATCAGTGACTTGTGGTACTTTTTAGTTAATTAATTATCACATTTTTTACAGCTGAAGTTGGAGACCTTTGGTTCTCTTGTTCATAGATGTTGTCAGATGTGTTAACATTTTTATTCCTCAGAGTGCTTGTTGGTATGACTGTTAGGCTGAGCTCAAAATCACACACTTTTTCTTTTTACTTTCAGTACATATGATGCCAAATCTGTCCAGTTTCATTAAGTATCATACTGGGACAGACTACTTGGTCATAATATGCACCTTGAACTTTGACCGTCATAGTCTGTGGAGTTGTCATCAGTCTGTGGCTGTTGATGGCTCAAGTTCATTTATATTTGTGTGAAACACCAAGACAGGTTAGCCTAGCTTTGAGGGGGAATGGCTAGCTTGTACAAAGCTAAAAAAAAACCAAACAGCGTCTACAGCTCATTACCTAACACTTGTTTAGCTCAATTAATAGAAATAAGGTGTGACTGAATGAAGCTTTACCAACATTAAGGTGAACTCTCTCTGAGAGTGTGTGTGATGTTGCTGCTCACCAGCCTTGCCGATCTGTACAGCCAGTCTGGTCAGTTTGCCCTGCAGCACAGACTTCTCCTTCTTGGTCACGAGGGCCTGGTTGACCTTCGCCTTAGGTTTGGCCTCCTCCTTCTCCTCCGACTCGGCGGCCTCCTCACTCTTCAGCGGCTGGATCTCCAGAGCGATGCCGTCCTGGGTCTTGGCTGGTTTTGGAAGGGAGGGTTGGGAGGTAAAAGGAGGAGTAGGCAGGTTTCAAGGGGTCAATGAGACAGGAGAAGGAAGGACCGGTGTGGTGAACAAAGAGGGATGAGGTAGAGGAGGGATGATGAAGGAGATGGTTGTAGTTCAGGAATGACGATGGAGAAGAGGAAAGTTTTTGGTGAATGAATTAAATCAATGTATAATAATAAATCACAAAACAAGAAGGTGGGAGCGGGGTTCGGGAGCAGTTTGGGGATGAAGGAAGAGAGGCAGAGAAAATGTTACAGATTCAGTCGGAGGGAAAGCTGAAAACGACTGGACGTGTTTGCTCAGAGGTCAGACAAAGCCTCTGACTCTTAATCATTACATGGTGACCCTTTGGCTGAATGCAGAGAGCAGCGTTTCATCAGTTTATGATCACAGAACATTCATGAAAAGGTCCAGGTAGCTTTCAGAGAGTGTCACAGACGAGTTGGGAGCAGCAGTTCATAATGAAGAGCAGCAGACAGAACAGAGAATACAGCAAATACAACAGAGAGGATTTACCACACGGCTGTCAATCAAACACACGCACACGCACGCACACACGCACACAACACACACACACACGGACACACACGCGCGCACACACACACACACGCACACAACACACACACACACACACACACACACAGAGTTTGTTTCACATCAGAGATCAGAGTTTGGAACGAGGCTGAGTTCTGAAGTCTGACATGGCGTCTAGTTCCGCGTCCTGCTCGGCGGCTCTGCTGCTCATTTGCATAAACAAACTGCGTATTTGCATTTCACTTCATCAGCTGTGATCCTGTTTGGACTGTAGTACTGTATGTGGAGCTGTCTGATCTGTTTGATCTGTGCTTACAGTGAATTCAGCCGCACTCGCTCCATCCACTGCCGTTTATCATATTTCCATACCAAACGAAATGTGAGCAGGTGGAAACAGAACAGATCTGCACTAATCTGACAAACTGAGGTTTGATCTTCTGGTTGTCCTCATGAACAACTGGGCTGACAACAATGACTGAAACTGGGAGGATTTTACCTCCAGATTCCATCAATTCCTTGTGCAGTAATTAACATTAAATACTGGAAATGTTGCGGTGGGCTGTTGAATTAATGCACAATAAATCGTCCGCCAGCTGACTGTATATTCTTATTTTAAAGCCTGTTGGAGAGTCCCTGCTGGGAACAGTATCAACATCACATCTGGAACCAACAACACCGACAGATCATGGACATAAAGCACGCAAGATTCCTGGATGACCAGTCACAAGATTGTACAAAACACGGAGAAGTCTGGCCCGCTTACGTAAAGTCCTCGAGTCCTGCTCCTACTGTCCTGGTTCTATCATCTACCAGCGTGGAATAAGCAAGTCTGTTCCTATTTTGAACTTAAAGTTAAAGAAACCTTTACTGGAAGCAACAAAAGTCAAATTAAGTCAATAATAATAATAATAATAGGAAGTGGAAAATGAAGTGAAACCATACAGTCCACTGTTGTGTCACTTCTGCAGTGAGTTTTAGAGTTAAGCTACAATGAAAATGTACTAAAGCAAAGTGACTGACTGGGCCTCAAGCAAGAACCAACTAAAACCATTCTTAAAAGAATAAAAAGAACTGGTCAGTAAACACAGAGATGTTTTAGTTGAACTGCAGCTGTGTTTAAACAGACCAGAGAGGAGACAAGCATTCAGGCCAGTTAAAGCTGGAGTTAATCCATCTAAAATATGTCGTCACCATTTTACCAGTGGACACTTGGAAAAATGTTGATTCCATTTTTTCTATATTTGTAAAATAAATACGTAAAGGAATTATACTTTTTTTCTTTTTATCTGATTTTTGATGTTGACATTCTGTTGAAGACCAACTGAGAAATGTGGCCACAACAGTGCGACGAGTAAAAGTTCTTGCATGAGGCTCAGAGACAAATAAACTTCCTCCCAACTCACGATTGATATTTTTGTAAAAAAAAACTAAATCCGCAGCAAGTTTGGGAACGGAACTTCAAAGACTTGTAGATGCAAACGTACAGCGTCTATGTTTATCTGTGTAATAATGTGTTTCTATCCCCTCCGCTGTCAGTGCCATCGCCTCGCTCGGAGTTTCCTCAGGATGAAAACGAGAAACTCCCCACACGGAAGTCGTCTCTCCACAGCTCAACGTGACAGTTAACATTGTGGACGTGGGGATGAGTCAAACCAGGAAGCTGCTGAGCTTTATGCACATGGTCCACTCTGGAGACAAGCCACAACATAGAACTAACTGACACAGCTTCACACGAACAGGACTGAGACCCACTGACCAACCACAGAACTGGAAACAGGCGCAGCACTGAACCATGGGAGAACGCACGGCGGGCAGAGGGGAGGGGGTGTCTGACAGTCAAAAAAGAAAGCAAGTCAACAAACAGAAGATGAACGCAAAGGATCACCCCAAAGAACGGAAAACGACAGCGATGCAGAACCACGACAGAGAGACAGGAGGAGGTAGTTGAGGCTGCAGAGCTGTGGAGGCTGCAGGAGACTTCAGCAAGACAGAGGAACAGAGAGGAGGAAGAGAGTCAAACAGTGAGTACGAGACAACATGAAGTCCTGAGCAACACCCTGCAAGGAGGCAACAGTGAGAGAAATGACAGGAGTCAAAGGCGAAAAGAAAAGAAACCGAGGACACACGAACAGAACAGACGACAGCCCACAGCCCACTAATACTGTCAGGGTGCAACTCCCACACACACCGACAGCCTCAGCATCACGGCTCTGAGCGCTGCAGTCACGGACGGGGGAATGTTTTCAACGATTTTCTTCCACTCCTACGTCTGCACTGGGTTCGCTTAAATATTCCACAAAATGAATAGTTTGCTTGAACCAGATTCTGTTAAAGAAAAAAACTACACTAAAAATTCAGCACTTCCTGATGCACACGAGTAGCTACTCAGCTGTAACCAACATCTTAGTGACCCAAAAAAAAGTAAAATATAAGAAGTAAAATATGTTGAGTGTGTATGTAACGCCTGTGGACACTTGGAGAATAACGGGCCTGTGGATTGTTTTTATGATTCTAACTGTGTCGTCCTGCACAGAAGACATTTCTGAGTTCTGTCTGCTTCTAGTCAGTGTTGCTGCAGGACTTTATATTGCAGGAAAAATGAGCGGACAGGGACAGATAACTAGGTGGAAACTACTCGGGGTTCAAAGGGTAAAACACTGACAGATGTTTGCGTTTACTATCAATCAGCAGGTACTGATTGAAAAAGCAGCAAACTAGAATTATAGAATTTATATTTAACACTGGGCTGCAAGGTGGCTCAGTGGTTAGCACCGTTGCCTCGCAGCAAGAAGGTCGCCGGTTCACGTCCCGGTGGGGGCACCGGGATCTTTCTGCGTGGAGTCTCCATGTTCTCCCTGTGCAGTGTGGGTTCTCTCTGGGTTCTCCAGCTTCCTCCCACAGTCCAGAAACATGTTGAGGTTAATTGGTGATTCTAAATTGTCCATAGGTGTGAATGTGAGTGTGCTTGGTTGTCTGTCTCTAAGTGTAGCCCTGTGATAGACTGGTTACCTGTCCAGGTGAACCTGCCTTCACCCTGAGTCAGCTGGGATAGACTCCAGCCCCCCATGACCCTAGTGAGGATTAAGTGGTGTAGAGATGATGGATGGATGGGTGGATATTTAACACCAACTGTTGGACTTTAATTTGGAGTTGCATTAACTGATTTTTTGGTCACTAGAGGGCAAAAGAATTTTAAACGTACAGTTCTAAAGGTTAAGCGCAGAAGTGTTCTTCTTCTACATCCAGCAGACAAAGAATCCTCATCGTGTTTAAACATCTGCTGGAAACATGAGCGACTTGGAGCTAAAAGAGGCCAAAAAGCTGAGTGACTGAGCTCTGACGCTGGCTGAAGGTCTGTGACGATGTGTGTTTCAGCCGAGGTCGCCTGTGACTGCAGCTCTGAGAATTATTTCTGTGTGCAAAAGTGTGATGAGCTTCCAAGAGCCGTGCGTGTGTTTCTGTGTACATCAAGAAGCATTCTGTCTGCAGCAGATGCCTCGACGGCGGGAGGTCGGGAGGAGGGGAGCGCCGCGTGTGCATGTGTGTGTGTTGAGACAGCTTGTGGAGGAAGCTGGACATGTGTCGGATCACACGGGACACGGAGGACGGTTGGCTGGTTTTGGAGGTTGGAGCGATGGCGTCACCAGATCCATTAAATAAGGACACCCCAGAGGTCGGCCCGGTGGGTCAGAGGGACTGGCTTGTGTCTCAGTTCTGAGCATGAAGCAGGACATTTTGACGACAGAAAATGAAGTTTAACATTAACTTTGTCTTGTGGATAAATAATTCTCACTAAATAAATTCATTTTATTTAGATTAGATCAACTTTAACAAATTAAGAAATTGGAAGGTAAAGTGCATTTTACCAGATGGAAACCTCGTTATCTTGGTCAAACTTTTGCCCGATTCATCATAACTATGCACGTGTGTGATTTAAAATATTTGGATGTTTCATTCTTATCTTGACCGTTCTGAAGCTCAGTTTAATGTCTCTGATTTTTAACCCAGTAACACAAGTGCAAAAGTTATAAAACTATAAATATTGACTATAACATTCATACAGACAGTTGACTCATTAAATACTACCAGCCAACAACTGATGACTGTTGTTGTAAACTGCAATTGTTTTTTGATGAATCACTCACAACCATTACAGGAGATCAACAAGGTCAGTGAATGCTTTAGTTACTAGTTCACAGTTAATCAGATCAGTATTGGAGCTCTAAACCATCTCAACTCTTAAAACTAAATGCAGTCTAGTTAACGTGTATTTTTTTTAGTGGAACTTGTAGGATTTGTATTCTTCAACTGTGCAGCTGGCACTCGTCAAGTCAGCCAATTAGCTTGGAGAGCAAATGAGAGGTTTGTACTGTGTGACAACAGCAAACACACAAATACATGCATTGAGCGCAAATTAGATTATTGTTCTATAAAATTAAATCATTCTTTGAGCGACAGCAATTTATTGAAAAAATGTAATTTATGTGAAATGTCCTACTGCACCCACAGGACTGAGGCATCGTGGCAGTTACCATGGCGACTGAGGACGCTGTGATTGGCTGTCGAACACTAGAAAGTTGAGAGTTGCACCCTTTGACAGGTAAAGCAAGGCGAGAGAACGTCCCCCTTTAACAGCAGAGAGAGACAGGGATGGACTGGACACTCCCCTCCTGCTGCTGGGTGGAGGGTGAGGAGGGGGTGAGGAACAGGGAGGATGGGGGGACAGAGAAGGACAGATGGATGAATGGAGGGGTTACCTTTGTTGCGATTTTCAGGGGGTCCTTGTTTTTTACCTGTTCGGACAGAGAGAGAGGGCGGAATGCTGATAAGATGGCTCAAAGGAAAAATAAGATCAACTCAAACTGAGGGAGAACACAAAGTTCAAACTGATAGAAACCCACAGGTGTGTGTGTGTCGTGTGTGTGCCGTGGGCAGGAATGGACGAATCAGAGGAGAGAGACGCATCACTTCCTGCTGCGGAGAACCAACTTTGAACAGACTCGACTGTTATTATTAACATCAGAATTGTTAGTGATGGACTGAGCGCTGGAATGAGCCGCTCAGGCTTCACCTGTTGGGTTCATTTCTGTTTTAATGTTTTGTGCTGTTTAAAGACTGAAATATAGATTGATGTGTGTCTACAGTTTTCAATAATGAGATTGATCATTTCTGTTTCTCACTGATTGAAAGAATCATGTAAGACTTTCATAGGTGTGTTTACATGCACACCAGTAACATGCTGGTTTTGATCAAATCTGGAATACGGCGTTTACACAGAAGGCAGAGAAATCTGCTTATTCATGTCCTCGTTTACCTGGTAAATATGAGTATCCCGGTTACAGATTACTGTTGGTGCAGCTACCTGTGATCTTTAGAGCACAAAGCAGCAATTTAATCTGACATTCCTGTACCGATCAGGGATTTCTGATTAAGATTTATTCAAAGTTTACTTGTTTGGAGCCCAAAACTAAAGTCTGCAAAATACTTTGGCTGAATTCTAAGAATTTCAAATGTTTTCAGACCTGGACTTTTTTTTTTTTAATTTCCATTTTAAACCAAGCCATTTTAAGGTTCAATACTTCCAGAAATTGAACCGTCACAGCCATGAAATTTGGTGAGAACACAGACAAAGTAGGTTAAAGCAGATCCAAACGATTTAATGGTTCTAGCAGAGGAAATATTTTTCAATTATTGGCCCTTTAAAAGGAACCTCATCTTGCCAAACTTGCTACGCATCAAATTCCACGGATGTCAGAGGCCTCAAACGTTGGTGAAATGTCGACCAAAGGCGAGAAAAAACTCTCAGGATCACCTTTTAAACATCCAGAAACACCAGAGAACGAGGACATATTTTGAAAAGCGAGAACATTTTGTCCATTTCTTCAGTGACTTCTTGAGGTTCTGGGCTTCTTCTGATGGTTACGAGGAGGTTTAGATTAAACTTCTAGCTCTGAGATGTATTGTGTCAATGAAGGCGTTCACAAATAATAGTGTATGAGATGCTCGTGTGAATGCTTTGTTCTTCAGTTTCTTTTCAGGTGAACCTGAAAATTCGTCTTGTGGTTCTCCTCATTAGGAATTCAATTCTGCTGGTTTTTGTCTTTAAATCGGGGACTGGAGGCCGAAACGTGACCCTGAGCGTCTCTCTCCGCTGAGCTGGTACATTCGGCCAGTTCACAATGAATGCCTGACAAACTTTAGCCAGTAAAACAAATGATCAGACGAAAACAAACTAAAGAAAAAAAGACATGAGTAAAAGGGGGTTAGCATGATCACAAGCAAATCAAAAGCAATAGAGACCGACTGCAGAAGCCTGTTGGTTTACATCAATCTGCTCTGAGATAGTACGAGGATCATCTGGACTTTGGCTTTTGAAGGGTTCCTCTTCAAAAAGCAACTGTGTGCAAACAGAATCAGGTACGTTTGGCATTTTTACTCAGCGTTACATCAAATCAGTTCCTCAGCACAGTGGCCACAGTCCACCACGAATAAATGAGACCACGATGGAGCGTTGTTTTAGGAGACCGAGCAAACAGACGCTTTCGTACATGTGTGGAATATTATGGTCTGTGTTGAAGCACAGCTCAGTGTGTTGACTGACTGATTCTGTTCACTTGGTAGCAAACAACAGAAGACAGAAATGATTACTGCTTGTCAAGCTTCCTCCTAACACCTAATAATCTGATTCACCTGATCCACTGAGCAGCTGAACATGAACTCCAGAGGTGGTTGGACACAGTCTCCACTTGTCTCTCTTGGAAGTGAGAACCTCAGAACAAACATCTAATGATGCTTAATAAAGACTCTGAGCAGCGGTGGAAAGTAACTAAGTACAATTACTCAAGTACTCTACTTGATTACAGTTCTGAGGTATAACATATTTCCATGTTACACTACTTTCTTCTGCCTGAAATCTTGTACTTTCTACTCCACTACATTTATCTGACAGCTTTTACACGATGAATAAAATGACAAGCTTACAAACTACGACCACATAACAAACTACAGCACAGTGTTACACATTAAAGCAGTGGTTTCTCGTCTTTTTTTTTCTTCCACACACCATTGTGTAGTCGGCTCACATTTCAGATGTCTATGACTTGTTAGCAGCTCCACCAAATAGACATTTTTTCCCTCTAAACGTCTCACATGGTTTTATTTTAATAAATGTTCCAATGATAGAACATCTCAGCCAAAATCACAGAGTAGAGAAAAACTGAAAACAGATTCGTGGGTCAGAACTTAGTGTTTTCTTCTTTCCTCTGCCATAAATCCTGTTTGGAGCCTCAGATTTATCTTCTGTCCCTGTGAATAAAAGGGGATATAAAGGAGCTGAAACTGCAGCAGCTACAACAGTAACCTGCTGCTGACACGCTGATGCTTCCCTTTTAATAATCTAATATTATATCAGTCAGAGGAATAAACCAGGACTTTTACTGCAGTCACGTACTTTTACTGAAGTCCGATTTTTCAAGCAGCGATTTTACTTTGCACTATTGATACTTTTACTCAAGTAAAGAATCTGAATACTTTTTCCACCACTGACTCAGAGTCATGTAATGTGATGCCAAACAGACTAACATTAAAGCTCCCAGGTTATCCCACAGTGAGAACGTCACCAGTTCATAACTCATGTCGTGGATGCAGAAATGAAGGATTGTTTTTGTTCTGGAGGAAAGAGCTAGTTTGCAAAGAATTTATGATCAGATGGATTTCCCTGAGATTCTGCCTTGACTGCACCTGTAGTTGAGCTAGTTAGCTGGCCATGCTAACGTTAGCAGCTCACAACAAATGACACGTGTCTGGAGAGGGTCCAGTGACTTGTGAACTCGTTGCTGTTGTACGTCACTCTCAGTCAGATACTTCAGTCATGTTTACAGACACAGTCACAGGGTAGAAAAACTCCATCCCTGCAGGTGAACTCATCTTTGGTCTCATTTATTCACTGATGATGTTTCTGTGTTAAGATTGAAGTGAAATAAAGCTAACAGACTGATTAGACCCTTCAAACAGCTCTGCTGTTTTCAGCCCAGACTGGATGAACTCTACCTGCCGACAGAGTCGGCAACTACGACAGGAGGAACTTCGAATCAACACCAGCTGATAAGAATGTGCAAATATTTCCGATCTGCACTGTTCAAACAGTAGAAATATTCAGAGGCTGACCCGGTCAAACTTTCCTCCCAACACTTCACAGACTTACTGTCCTTGTATAACCTTCGACACTTCAATGTGAGCTGGGTTTTTTGAGATGTGTGCGGCAGGCTTCGCCTCATGTCTTACTTTTCTTGACCTTCTTCTCTTCATCGTTCTCGCCGGCGCCCAGCAGAGTAAAGATGATGCCGGTCTGAGAGTTGAGGCCAACAGCTGACACCACCATCTTGCCGGATCCCTCCATCACGTGGGTCCCTGAGGAAACATTCAAACGCTGTTACTGCTGTTTCTTTTCATTTTAAATCACTTACATATCAATTATCATCTAATTAGTCAAATTTTTGAGGGAAGGCTTCCACTAGGATCAGTCTTAGGATGACCAACATTACCTCTTGGAAGTAGGGATGCCATTGACTCATCATTAGTCAATTAATTCCCATAAATAATTGAACCAATTAAGAACATTGTTTACGATTTGCATCCCTACCTAACATTGCATCATTTAGAAATGTGTGATGTGAGCTTGTGTTTAAGTTAAACTCTGATGCTACAACCCTGATTATTCCCTTTCCTGTGTGCTTGCAGTCTGAGTATTGGTCCAGGTCATGTGACCGTGCACTGGCGCTCACCAGACAACAGCATTGGATCCTTCTCTGCTGACTTCCGAACCTGGTCGGATTCTCCAGTCAGAGAGCTCTCATCGATCTTGAGGTCGTTGCCTTGGATCAGGATCCCATCAGCAGGCAGCAGGTCTCCTGCAGGTCAGAGGTCAGAGGTCAGAGGGTCTCTGGATGTGAGGAGGATCTTATACTGCATCTGTATTTCATTAATCTCTCAATACATCTTCAGTATTCACTGATTTTTGCTCCAGTCATTTCTAAACCTGATGAAGACCAAAACATTACGTTAAACCCACGTTCTCTTGAGCTAAAATAGGACAAAAAATTGAGCAACAAGAAAGACTCAGAAAGTGCTGGAGTTCAGAGGGTTAAACTCAGCCTGTTACTGAGTCAAAAGCATAAAACAGATCCAGAAGTCACAGAATGTTTTTGTTCAGCAATGTTTCTGACCGAAGGCTGCACATGTCAAACTCTTTTTTTTTTTTTTTAGCTGTATTCATTTAGTACCAATTCACAATTTGAGTACAGTCAAGATCTCACTATATTAAATTATAGAGAGAGAAACAATAAATCCAGTGATTTCCTGTGAGCAGCACTTAGCGTATTGTTATTTTATCCTCTTTTGCATCACTTTCTGAGTGTGTGTGAAGATTTCCCATGAGCCTCATCCCACACAGCCACATGTTTCAGTGTACTCTTGGTCAGGATGTGATGTCCTGGTCTGGTCCAGGGCCCTCAGTTCCAGTAAAAGGAAGTCTTAGCGTATAATGATATGTCAAACAACAGCAGCACCTTTGGGATGAGCTGGAACTCTAGTGGCTAATCTAACATCTGTCAGCTAACACTGAAACATTTACAGTGAAGCTGATTAATGTGATCCGTCCCTGAATAAACATAAATAAGTTAACTGTAACCCAACAGTATGATCTCACTGATGTACTTGTGGCTGAAACCTGAAGGGCTGCGATTCATTTTCATTCAAGCCTGAAGGATTCTGCTGAAACTCTCAAGACTTTAAATCCTTTTGTTTGATGTTTAGTCAGAATGAATCTTCCGGAGGCAGAAACAAAAAAGCAGGAACATTGGGTCATATCTGAGTCTAGTTTTTGTGCCACAGATTTGTTGCTTCAGTTCGGTGTGTGGATTTCGTACCGTACTTGATCTGAGCGATGTCTCCCACCACGATCTCGGCCACAGGGATCTGGATGACCTGACCTTTGCGGATGACTGTGAATTTTTGTTCCTGCTCGATGCGACTCTGCAGCCCGCGGAACTGCTTCTCCTTGGACCAGTCATTGAAGGCTGTCACCAGGACCACGATGATGACGGAGAACAGGATGGCGGCGCCCTCGATCCAGCCAGCCTGGGCCTCGCCCTCGTCCTCCACGCCACCGGCAACCTGGCCGCATGCTGGAAATAAATGAGGACACGTTGAACTAAATAACAGAACAAACTAACTGACTGACCAGGTTAGTGAAAAGCCACGACAGAACTCAGAGGAAAGGTTGAGCACTGTTTGTTCACACAAAGAGAGCAGCTCCACTCATCAGATTAATAAACAGCTCAGTCCTCCATCCCTCAAGGTGGACGTGCTGTCAGAAAGCTCAGAGAGGTGGTGAGTGGCGGTCCAACAGAGTCCTGCTGGCCGGGAGTTGCTCTGTGGACACTGTGGTTATGTGGTGCACACTTTAACCAGCCGGCTACTAGTTTCAAAGTTAAACTCTGAAATACAGAATATCTGCACAAATACAAAGTCACGTCTCAGTGAAGGAGGAGGCACAGAAGTCAGCAACTGTCAGTCAGCACTCACTACCTCCTCCTGTGGCAGCTTACAAACACCTTCTGTAGCAGCAAGGAGTCTTTCTGTTCTTGATTTAGGAATTTGCAGATCACTTCAAGTTCTGAGATGAGTTGAGACGGTCCATGTTCAGAGCGTTGGGCGTCGACAGATTTTCAGCGATCTTCGGGTCAGCAGACTGTGATGCTCAACAGCTTCAGCTTGTGTTTCTTGAAGGAGCTTGTGATGATGCTGAGGTCTGCTTTGGACTGTTGTCCTGCTGTCGAAGCCACTATTCAGCTTCAGCTTCACAGACTGCATGACATTTGTATCCTACATGTGCTCATATTTAGTGGGATCACAGCCCTAAAGCGTCAAAATGCTGCTCCCTTTGTTTCTAAACACATAATGTTAGGATTATATGTTACAGAGTTGAAAATAAACAAGAAATATAATTTATACTTGATTCAAGTAACTGCACAATTATCATATTTTCTGTAAATGTAAATTCCACGTGTTGAATCTTTGGAATTTCACTCTAATGGAGAAACACTGAAGTTTGATTTTCCCTTTTTTTATATATATACAAAATCTAACAATGTTGGGAGCTAAAAAATAAATAAGAATAAAATGTAATTGTAGGCTTGACAGTGTGAGTGCACTGACCTTCACTGTCGCCCCCTGGTGGGTGGTAGAAGGACAGGCCCAGTGAGATGATAGCAGCGATTTCGAGGATGATTAGTGTGACGTCCTGCAGGGCCTCCCACACCAGCTGCAGGAACGTCTTGGCCTTCTTTGGAGGGATGAAGTTCTTTCCGAACGCCGTGTGACGTTTCTCTAAATCCACGGGGTTACCAGACAGACCTGCAGACACAAACATGACACGTTAGTAATACAGCCCAACAAAGGGTAAAAAACATTTCTAAAATAAAACTGTTTGAGTCAAGAAGCAAGAATCCAAGGGCCACTGAGTAAAAGGAATGATCTAACAGCAGCCTGATTTCACCAGAACCCTTCATCAAGTGTTCAGGTGAAGGTTTCTGGGACTGGAAGCTCAGAGTAAAGCATTCTGCAGGACTCTCACAGTATTTATATCTACTATGCTTTGGAAATGTGTATATTCTTCTGTGCCTGACCAGAACCAAACTCATTCTGCAGCAGGGAAGCGACCCGGAACATCCAGCCAGAGTCACTATAAGAACTAGAACTTGAGCCAGCAGAAGAACAAGGAGTCCTCAGCAGATGGTTGAGGAACCAGACAGACCAACATCATGGACTCAGACATTAAGACAGAAGACACTGAGACAGACCGAATCCACAGAGGAACTGTGGCAAATTCTTCCAGATGCTTGAAGCAGCGTGTTTGCCAAAGACCAAGAAAAACTGAGGAGAACTGCTGGTCGCCCCAAGTGCTGATGTGACTCTTTAACGTGCTGTGCTCTCTTTTTGTTTGTTAGGGTTTTTTGTTCCTGTCACATTTTTCCTCACTGTGGCCTCCTGCAGTATAAAGTTCTGCCCCTCCATGGAAACAGAGCAACCCTGTGACTGTGACGTTATCATGTGACTACAGATTCTGGTGCAAACAGTTTGTTTTTGGCTACCTTTTAAATGTAAAACATGGGGATTTTGCTGAAATATCAGTTTTAAGCATAGATGTGGTTCATTTTCCCGTACAGACCAGCATGCGACAGGTGAGTAGTTCAAGAAACAATACAATGGCCAATACGTGGTGTCATTTTGGTCTTTTTTAAAAGATAAGATGCCTTTAAAATGTGCTGGTGGGTTTTGGGGTTCAGAGGATTCATATGAATTGGTTTTGAAGCTCTGGTTGTCACCCACATGTCATTCAAAGCAGCCACACCCTTAATTCTTTATAACTTTAAGCATTCGTACAATATAAACACATGAGTGCTGAAAAAACAACCTGCCATCTGTACAGTTGACCTGAATGAGGAAATAAGATTAGAAACTAAAACAGTTTTTTTTTTCTACCAGGCTGTGGACGTGTTTATTTCAGCTGTGGAAACTGAGACACTTTTGGAGCCTCAAGTTGAGTCTTGAGGAACTGCAGTTTTTGGCACTTTTGTTTTTTTTCTTCATTCCTCAGCTGCTTGAATGAAACTAGCATGACAACTATCTGATACGAGCTTCCTTCTTCCTGCATTTACTAAACCTTCAGTCTGAGTGCTGCTGATGAAATGACTCCTGTCTTTAACCTTTATTGGAAGTGTGTTGAGGGCAGAAGATGCACTATAGTTATAGTTATGAAAAGTCGAGATTGACCCACTTTTGTTGCAGGCTGCAGTATTTCCATACGCAGTATTTATTTGGGCGAATCCCCAGCACAGATCTGTCCCACCCAGAAACATTCTGTAATGCTGGATTCATTATTTCCTCCTTTTTTTGTCAGGAGATGTAACTTTTTTTAAAAACTCACTTAAAGGTCACATGAATGGTGAATTCAGGTGCAGCTTATCAGACTGGGAGAATAAATCCCGTGTTCACAGGTGAACTACGAACAGCTGTGAGGAGAGTTTTCTACTGCTGGGTTTCTCCAACCTTGTGACCCCTTAAAATGACCCCTCTGGTTAAGAAGGGTTCAAGCCTGCTGAGCTGCCATGACACAGGAGAGAAAACTGGAACGTTAAGAGTTAAGTCTACAGATATGAACATAATTTTACAAATGAGAACTATCTGTGACTCCTGCTCCTGTCAGTCACTCTGAGGCCTTGACAGGAGGGTCCTGAGCCCCCGGTCAGGGATCAATGCTGTGTGTTTGTATCTGCGCAGTGACGGCAGCCTGAGATGACCTGAACCCTCCCCTGCTGTAAACACAATCTGCTGCTGCAGCTGAGCCAAACAAAGCAGCACCTGATCAGACAGTGTGATCAGCTGACTCTCATGAAGCTAACGCTGATGCTCAATAAACACTTGTTTAAAAATCAAGGGGAAAAAAACGGTGACCATCTATAATGGAAGTCACCGTAGCAGCCGTGTACACCAACAATAGAACGATAAAAAGCTTCAATACCAGCAAACCTGTGTAAATATCAGCCGTCAGATTTCTTCAACTAACCGATGAGTTTGGCGAATTAAAAAATGGGTGTGATGCTTCTCTGTCTGCCTGCAGAACGAGTACTCCCAAACGCCTGCTTACAGAAGACCAAACAATATCTGAGAGTTATTGATTCCAGAGCTGTGACTGTCATTTTCCAGCGGTGACTCATGTCTAAGTGCTCATTCATTCTCCTTATAAAGACAATAAAAACACGGAGATTTCTCAGTTGACACGGCTGCTTACAGGAGGACAGACCAGGAGCGCTGCAACCATCTTAGAACTCCTTCTTGTTTCTATTTCAATCCGACTTTGCAAAAACACCATTTGCAGGCTGTTACAGTCTGTTAATTAACAGCGGGAGTCAGCAGCTCGTCTTCACCTTCATTCTCTCCTGACCTCGTTAACTCTAGCTGTGCTAAATGGCGTTTGCAGCACTTCTGACAGCACTCATCTACTTTATTTTAAATAAACGTGTTTATTTTGCAGCGAAACCTGGAAATCTGAGACTTCCTCTGCACGGCTGTGTGGGCAGCAACATGGCTGCTGTGGATTCTTGTGAAATTGGGAGATGTGCAGTGGAACGTGATGTGAATGTCAACAGACCGCACAGCCAGGATTTCTGATGAAGGCAGACTCTGTAAGTCGGCATGAACATGAGCTCAGGCATGTTTCTGTCCTCATATGTTTCAATAATGGCCTCTTACTCTCCGCTGGCAGACTGAATGAAGAGTTCCTCTACTCCATCTCAGGAAATTCTCTCCATCTGTCTCTCCTCTGTGGATGCAGCAATCAGGAGCGACCACCAGGTACCAGTTTCTGCCATTTTGAGGGTTGGTCTACTTTCAGACTATTATGCAGCACACACAGACGTACTCGTTTTCTAATCTCCCTCCTGATTCATGTCATCTAATCTTAATTGGATAGTTTCAGTGACAGAATTATTGAACGACTGAGCGCTGAAGGTGAAGATTAGAGAAGAGGTATGATGCGAGATGAGGAGAGGCCAAACGAGGTGAGGGAAGAACAGATTCGTTGTGGTGGTGAGATTAGATGATATGAAATAAAATGAGGTGACATGAGATTATGTGAGATGATGGAAGGTCTGGAGAAACTGCTGACAGATGAGGTGCGGTGAGATTTAATAAAACGACACGAGGCGTCTCATGTGAGGTTATTCAAGGTGATGTGAAGTGACAGAAATGAAGCGATGAGCAGAATCTCCTTATTGCCCCTTCTCAGATCTGTCATGAAACCTTTTTAACGGCTGTGTGAAGATAATTGCTGTGTACAGAAATCCGACTTCTTCCGCTCACATTAATCAACACAATTGTTATTTTACATTGTGATTTAAGTCAAGCCACTGCTAATTAAATGGCACATTTTAAACAACAGATATCGACTGCTTTCCCCCAAAAAGGGAATGAGGTTTACGTTGCAAATGCATTTAACCTTAATATTTAAACTTGTTAATAACCTAAAATTTTAGCTATTACACAAATTTGCCAAAGTGATTCAAAGATGAAGGATGAAATCCAATTAAAATCCTATTAAGTTAATTACTTTAACTACTGCGGTTACCAGACGTCAACAGACACATCATTTGTCATTTAGCTTCACTGTAGTCCTTGTCATGGTGCCCATTGCTCGTTAATTCTCTCTGACCAACACAAGCTGCCTGTAGTCCGACTGACTGCCTCCACTGGTCGTTACAGTATCAAACGGTAGCCTCCACCTGGTGGAACAAGCAGGTACTACAGCTAACCCATAATACATTTTCTGATACGCATGCTTTTGAAGCTTGGAGTCAACCGACTCTCTCCACAATACAGTTCTGACAGTGTTCTACTGGAGCTTTACAACAAGGTTCCCAACCACCTACAGAACTTTAAGGAACAGCTTGAATACAGAAAAGTACATTTGTTGTTAATGCACTATTCAGCTGTCAAGCATAAACTTTTGATTGATTTGCATAAATTAATGTATTTGAAGTGTGTGTTATGCAGGAAAATGTTACTGGATTGGAACCAGGTGTTGGCAGATAAATACATCGGGGACATTCCTAACTATATATAATACAAATTAACCTGATTATTTAAATATTAACGTTTAAACCCTACAACATCAGATCACAAGACACCCTTTGGTCTGATGTGACAGCAGATAAATGAAGATTAGACAAGGTGAGGTGGCAGATGATGGAAATGCGATGAGGTGAAGTGAGAGGAGATGAAATGAGTTAAATAAAAATGAAATAAAAGCAGGTTGGGGTGAAAGGAGCATGAAGAGACCTTAGGTGGAAAAACCATGAAATGAAATGACATGAGCAGAGTTTAACAGTGAGATGGTGGCATGAGGTGAAGTGATTTATGATACGGTGTGATTTTTAAAGGGTGAGGTGAGACAAAATTAGATGATATTTGTTTTGGAATCAACAAAAATCAAACTGGAACATTAACACAGCACGCCGCCACACAGCAGTGCATGTTAACAGAATCCTGTCTGAGTGACAGACCAGCTTCTCAACACGCTGACTGACTATTTCTGTGCTTTCAAGCTGGAGAAGAAACATCTTCAAGATGAGCAGGGGCACATGCAGAGATTTTAAAAATACACCAGCTGTCAAAGTCATCGTTAACAATGTTTCATCACGCTGCAGTTTAGTTCAAAGTCTGGTTTGATCATTTTGAAGGCGGTGACTGATGCTGAAAGCTACTGTCACACTAAAACAAATAAGAGCAGCATCACAGAGCACCTTTACTGGCTGTTTGATCGATACGAGTCTGTTTTTCTGGTTTAATGCTGTGAT